TCAGATTGAAGTGGTGAGGCTGCCTTTGGGAGATGAATCAGCTTCTGGTAATTGCTCCGTGAATGTGTATGGAAAGTCTCTGCAGCTGGCAAGTCTCATGCACAAAGTAAAACCACGAGGGGCCCTTTAGCATGGTGACCAGTTCATCTAAATAGGAAAAAGCAAGTGAGAGTAACACAATATAGTTTCCTCATTGCTCTTTGGTGTGAGTCAGAGTTTAATCAATATTTTATTGGTGGACCCAGCATGATGCATGCCGTCTCTTTCAGCCCACACGTTTAACAACTGTCATTTATTGGCCGCCTTTGACCGTTAAAGTCCTTCATATTTCTAAATTTTTAACTGATGTTTCTGCACACATGGTGCCAAGATACTTATAAAAATGTTACTAATTGCTAAGAAAAAAATAACATCACTTTGAATTGAGACTAGGATTTGCTTGTAAAAGGTCTGTATTTCTGATTTATCATTCCAGTTGTCACAAATATATGTGTTCATTGCAAGGCTTAAATTCTTTTTTTTTCTTTTTTCCTGCTATAGGGCACGTGTGCTTGCCAGAAACACAGAGAGAGACAGAGAGACAGAAAGTGAGAAATCACCCCATGGGGGGGATGGCCATGACACAGTCCCTTCTCCTCCATTCTCCTCTTGGGATCTTGGGCACACACGCACATGTGCCTGGTGTGAGTTCAAGTCACCGGGTCTGGGACTCAAACTGCGGTTAACTATGGGAGTCCAGCGACATAGCCATTACGCCAGCTGCCGGTCCTACATCGTTTAAATTTTAATGGGGGTTCGCTCTTGTTAAAATTAGGTCCATTATAAGTGAAAACTTCCACTAGGTTTTCTTCTTGAAAGTGACATTCATTCACCTAACAAGAATACCTACAAGTAATATTTTGGAGGCAGTACGTGTATGGGAATAGGGGCAGAAACAGACCTTCGTGCCTGTTTTTTATGATCTCCAACTTTTTTTTGCAAATGGCTGTCTAGAGCGATCAAGTGATTATTCACAGTATCTTTTATTTCCTTTTTATAAGAGAAGAACCAAGAAGAAGGAAGTGATGGGGGGAGAGAAGAGAGAGAGATGAAAAGAAAGGCATCCTCAGCAAGATTTTATGTCACTTTCCCCCCAGCCTTTTCCATCTATCTATGATCATTGGCTCTGTATGCATTGGCATATACGAGTAAACCCAGGAACCGAACCCTGATCTTCTATGTGGCTTCCAGTCTTGCAGAGTGTTGTGCTGCTGCTGGCCCTGTGGCTGGACCCCTTTTATTTCTACATTGTTTTTTTGGACAATGCAAATCTCATTTTCTTTTA